AATGACCGTCCCTGGCTTATCATTAATTCACGGCAGCGCAGATCCTGGGATATAAAAATAATTTGGTTTATGGAAACAGACGCGTCCCTCTTCGCCTCTTCCTCGGATCCCGGGTAAAGAGACCGACGAGTTGGGGGAACGTCTGGAACAAATCATGAATCGATGCAAGAAAACCGTCCCGAGTGATAAGGATGCCCTCTTAGCTCAGCGTCCTCGAGGTCCTTAAAAAATCATAAAGATACATAAAAACACATAAAAAAAAATCCAGGACCGGGAATTCATTATTCGGATAATCTTCATTGGTTAAAATCGGAACTGCTCGCTTGCCGCCCCCATTTTTGGGGGAATCAACCCCTCGTTAATGACGTTAACGAGGAAGGACCTGTTGTCCGACGACCAATGAATGGGCGTGCATGGTGGAAGACTTTAATGGATGGGATCCCGTGTGCAGTCGCATCTGCATCGAAAACTCGAGCCGAAAAACTTGAACCCCCCTCCGGCATTTCACCCCCTCTCGGCGATATCGACACTAGGGTGGCCATTATCATTATAATTGCGCAACGATGCGCTGATCAGCTGTATTGTCCTGCCAAATGCTAAACTACCGCCGTGCTTTGTGTCCTGCGTTTTAGGCACCCCCAAGCCCCCCGCGGTGCACCCTCTACATCCTGAAACATTCTTAGAAGAATCTTGTCAGACCCCAAATCCATCTCCATCGATCCCAGATTTTCCTGAATTTTATTTTCCAAAATGACACCACTCCTTAATTCTTCCGTGGGTAATTGGAAACACCCTTAAAAAATGTCTCATTGAATTCAACCGATTTAAAGGTTTTGCACTCCCGCCGGGGGGTAAGTGCAGCAGTTTGCAGTCGATGCATTTCACATCCTAGGATCTTGTATCCAAAAAGTCCTGGGGTCCCAGGGGTTCCTCCTCAGATCCTCCCCCTTCCCGTGAGAGGGATGATTTTTCAGATCCAAAATGGTGAGGCACTTGCCTATCTCTTGTATCCTGTATCCTGCACCCTGCACCCTGCACCCTGTATCCTGCACCCTGTACCCTACATCCTGCACCCTGCGCCGTGTACCTACGCATGGTGCACGCGTTCACGTGTACACTTTCACGTGCGTACGTTCACGCGTGCACGGCGAATTCGGTCCGCAGGGCGCATATATGGTGTACCTATACGGTGCCGGGGATGGAGGGCTCCCCAAAGGGGACTGACATATGCGATGCTTATGGGGTAGCATCCCCTGTGCACACACGAGCTGCCAATACGAACGGCGAACGCGATCGGGACATGTGCGCCCAACAGAAGTGTCCGGAATTCTATGACGGAGTTTGTTTGCGACCGCCGACCCGGCTCCTGAAGAGGCCGCTTCATTATTCCTCCTTTCGCGGAGATCTTGCGTATGCGTTCCCTCGGGACCCCGGGCTCCGATTGGCAAACGAAACCACGGGGCACCGCGAATCGGATCCCGAGGGGGAGGACTGCAACCCTCTCTTATCGCCGACGCGAGTACACCTTGTCGTCGACTCTGGATGAAAACTATGAGACTATATTATTTCCAGAGGATAGGGAATTTTATCACCATGCCTGAATAGAAATTTATGGGTTTTTAGATATTTTTTGGAAACGAGGAAAATTTCTCCCCTTCTTTCGATAAGAGCTCCGAAATTTAACGTTCATTTTGCGAAACCGAGGGAACGTCGTTAGGGAGGTCTGATAAGGATACAGAAATTGTCAGCAGAATTCGATTAGAGGAACCTGGAGGAGGTTCGTCACCCGGTCCCGATGATGACAGTTTCATCTTCTCCTTTCGACATATGTAAGGGTGCGTCCAGTGGACGGCAGGACAAATAGGAAGGCCAGGATCGGCATTTATTATCATAGTCCCGTAATAGGCTTAACAGTCCTATGGTCGGGGTCGGCCGGGATGTAACAACATTGAGACTTGCTCCCCCGAATAATTGGATTTGCCCGGTGATGTTCATTTGACATCATTGGGGCATTTAGGAAGGCTCCTCCAGGATGCTCGGTTGACAGGACCTTCCCAAAGATCCCCAGAAACTCCCTAAAATCCCTCTCGCTACGATTCAAATGAAATATCTACAAAAAAGGACTATCACTAAATTTGTCCGTCGAAATTCACGTTTCATGAAATACCTACAAAAAACCACTACCACTAAATTTGTCCAGCAAAATTCACGTTTCATGAAATATCTACAAAAAACCACTACCACTAAATTTGTCCAACGAAATTTACGTTTCCCGGAGGATCTCGAAAAAAATGTCTACTAATAATGCCATTGTTTATTTCGTTTGGATGCAATTGCTCGAAGGATATCCCGATTATGGGGAAGATGGACCTCGCGGAAAACCTCGAGACGGAAGCTGCGCTCTTAAATGGGATCTCTCTCACGACGCCATAAGGCGGCAATGTTACAGGCCGTTGGGCAGCGAAGAGAGAGATCCCATGAATCACGGGATGCTGGAGAGGGTGAAGAAGGGAGAGGTGACTTTTAAGAGCTCGAAAAAGGAGATTCGAACCGGTCCGGCACGCGAGCCTCTGCAGCATCCAGCATCCCTTAACGAGCAGGTTCGCATCTCGTTAAGCTTTATTATCCCAGTCGACCTGCATTAATCACAGCTCGAGCTTTACCGTTCCCCCCCGAGATAACGTGTTTAGTGATATCGGAACAGCTCGAGCCCTCTTACCATCCATGGAAGCCGACTCCACACTGTAGAATTTCCAATTGATAAAATATTGCCAAACATCAAGTGTCCTCTCCTCCACCTGCAAATCCCCCCATAATGCGCCTTATTAAGTAATACATCGTGATATTTTAACATTTATGAAAAAGTAGCATCCCCCTTTTTTTTGCAAATGAGAAGTGCACGGAATTTTGGGGTTCGGGGGGAGGATTCGCTCTTAAGACCTCCTGAGGTAAAATCGGGGCGAAAGGGACCGCATAAATCTCGGGGCGAGGGCCACTTGCTTCGAAAAAGTAATTATAGAATTTGTTTGAATAAATTTATGAGGGTGAAGGGGGAGGCAATCGTGAATTTAGGAGGGAAAAGAAAAAGGAGGCCAGAGGTTCTCCCTCGCCCCAGGTGGAGAACGGCGGACAGGCGTGCCGATTTCTCGCAAGGGGTGGTGGATCGAGCACCCCTTGCGGGGGTGAGGATCCTATCAAGTAGAGATAATGTGTTCTGTGCCGGGTAATTTGGCCCACCCCGAATCACCCCCTGTGCCAGGTCGCGACTTCCGATGTGCTCTCGAAGATCGGATCGACTTTCGTTCGCGAAAGAAATTCCCATCGTGCCGGAGAAATATTTTGGCGACGAGCTTTCCATTTTTTTTTTTTTCTGCAAAAATAGCCATTTTGGCACATATCGACACCTTATCGCAACGGCATCGCGCGCCTCCCTCGTGGTCCATTTTCTTCCCAGAAGAGGAGAGCTTAATTAATTCAGCGACTCGGTCGCCCATTTTGTTTTTTGTTTATTTTTTTTTTTTCCGAAATCAGCCACAGGACGAACGGACGGGTTTATCGGAGGAATCGGCAAGGCAAAACAATCCGAAGAGGACCTGAGGGAGAGATCGGTCGTTCTCCACACTTAATGCAGCATCCTCGGTAAAAACCGACCGCGTCCGTCATCTCCTCGATGGGACCAGCTCGCCTTCTAGGGAAGAGACACCTCGCTCTAAAAACGATTTTAGAATATAAAGTATTTCGCGCCGATCGGCGACTTCGCGCTACCGGGGAGCAAAATCGATCCCGGCCTTCGACGATTTCCATAAATCTCTGTATACGATTTCCAGCAGGTTTCCCCGCGACGGATCATTAAAACCCCCTCCCTGATACCCCTTACCTTTGATTTCCCCCGATAAACGATAACGCAGTTCGGTGATATCCTCCCACTTGACTTAATATCTGCCTGCGATAATTAAAATCCGCGACATCCCGAGGGAATATCCCATAATCCCATAAATCCCTCGGCATAATCCATCATACCCAAAAAATGTTCATAAACGTTTTCGAACACCGGTCATATCGAGGGTGAAAAAAATCGAGTCGGGTTCGCCATTCCGGCGAGTCCCGGGGCGAGCGCCGTTCGCGAGCTCCCACCACGTCGGCGGCCGGGGCCGGAATGGGAGCCTCGGCGTCGGTCCGCGGCGGCGCCACCGTTCGCGGCGTCGCGCCCCGTGGTCGTGGCCGACGCCGTCGCCGGGCTCGATTGGCCGGCGTCGACCCGCGGGATTGGTGGGCGCCGCAGGGCGGGTCGCCGTCGGCGCGGCGCGGCGTCGCGACGCGGGGCGCCCATAGGCCCCGCCTTTCCCCGGCCGGGGGCGACCCCGGGGGACCCGGAGCACGCCGGCCGCGGCGGCCGTGACACATTCGACAAGCGGCGCCGTAACGGGAAGCAACGCGCGGCTGGGGACCTCCGGAGGACGTCTTCCGGCGACTCGCACCCTTCTGCGCCACTTGGGCGCCGCCGGCGTCCCGACGACGTCCTCGAGGGCCGAGGTGGCACCGAGGGGCCTGCGCGGAGGGAGGACCAGAGGACGCTCGTCTCCGAGGATGTCCGCGAGGTAGTGTTGTGGTGCCACCTGTTCGAGGCTGTCCGAGGTCATGGTCCCGGCGCGTCGGCGTGGCCCCCTCTGAAGGTCGCCGCGCGCGCGACGACCCAGTGATCTCCGGACCCCAGCTCGAGGACCCCGGGTCGCGGTCGAGAGGACCCTCCCACCCACCCCTGAGAGCGCCCCGGCCTCACGACGCGGTCCGACGAGTGGAACGGTCTCCTGCCCAGCTCCACCATCGTGGGCGCTGGCGGCTCGCCATGGCTGGGCCTGGGGGCCGGGGGCGGCGCCGCCGCCACCACCGGGGGCGGCAGCCCCGTCGAGCTCGAGGGCCCCTGGGGCCGCAAGCTCTACGGGGCCAGCGTCGCGCCGCCGCCCCCGCCGCCCCATCACCACCCCAGGGCCCCCCTCGTCTTCGCCCCCCAGGACATGCGCCAGATCCTCAAGGAGGAGCCCGTGCCTCGCGCCTGGCCGCAGCCTGCCCTCGCCGATAACGGAACGTGAGTAGATCTCCTTTTCGCTTATCTCCCCCCCGTGATAATGGCTTTGACGTCCTGAAAATCCACTTTTATACATCTTTTATGCTTTGCCGAGACCCGAGGGGGCTTAATGAAGGGAAAATAAGGAAGTGATGGATATTCGGGGGATTTGTTATCTTTATATTTTTTAATATGATTTAATATCCTTTATCGCCTCCCTATCGTTCTCGGGTACCTGGAGTGATGTACGACTCGTCGAGTCGAGTGTCGACGGAATCGAGGGCCTGGAATCTCGTCGATTTTTTTATATTCCGCAGTTTTATACCGAGATGGAGAGGTGTTTATAGTGGGCTGTAGAGGCAGCGTGCGAAGAAGTGGTTGTACATAGTTTCTTTATATTTCACGAAGTCACAAGAAATAAGCAAAGAGCGGTCCGACGCGTCGAGTCGAATGTTGGAAGATCCAGTGCCCGGGATATCGTCGTTTTATTTATATGAAGAAATTTTTCTAACGATTCAAAGAGGCTTTTCAATTACCGGGGGTTTTGTGTTATTTTTTTTTTTTAAGGATTTTAGGATGTTACGAATGCGAAGAACGATCTCGCCGAGCGTTACTACTGCGGGCCGACGGATCGCGCGTCGACTCGGACGACTGCAAGCCCTCCACCCTTTTCAAGTCCTTATCGCTAAAAAATCATGTCAATATTAGTATAACCAGGGTCAGGAATAGAAAGTCGTCACGAAAGTGAAGTGACCTAGGGGAAGCATCCGCCTCCACCCGTCGGACCTCGAGCAAGACCCCTAAAGTCATACTTAGTAACGGATTAAATTGATTCCCTCCCAATTGCGGTAAAAAATGAAAAGAAAAAAAGGAAAACAACAGGAAGAGATCCTGTTTAAAATCAATTGATATATCCTTCGTAGTCGTCGTGTCCTCGATCCGTCGGCTCGATTCCCCATCGGAGAGCATTATTTCTTACGTGAGATTTCTCCCTAACTTTTCAAAGGACTTTTTCAATTTTCTCCATTATCGCTCCAGTTAATCCGAGAATGGAAGGAGGGAGTGTTCGGGTTTCGCGGAATTTCCTTCGGGAAAGGGAGAATAGAAATATTTCCTCGGCTCCGTGGTGGGTCGTTTTCCGAAATTTTCCGGGGTTTTAGGAGGGCGTTAGTCGGGCTTAATCGGTCGGGATCTCTAATCGAATCGTCGCTCGATACGGCTTATCTCGAATGAGCATTCGACGCCGGGCTGTTTCGACGCCGGGCGTAAACCGAAGTCACGGGACGAACAATAAACCGCGGTTTATTGCAGTTTCGCTTAACGGATTTGTACGACGTGTAAACTGCGGAGGCGCAGATAGGGGGCCTCGCCCCCTCTCTCTCGCACTCACGGCCGGGCCGATCGCTCCGTCTCGTTCTCTCCCGTTGCCGCCAGCCCTCTTGCCCTCTCGCGCCGAGGTAAATCTGTAGGTGGTTCTCTAATCCAATAGTGGTTCCCTTAACTAACCCCTCTCGGTACGGTGACGCGGGTCCCAAGTAAAATCGAGCTAATGTAATTGGGGAACGGTTGCCAACTTTCCGGTCGGCCTTGCCCGATTTCGAAGTTCCGACTCCGAAAGAGAAGAAGAAAAAAAAAAAGAAAAGAAAATCGTCAGTATATTTGATCAGAATCGTCAGTATCATTTGATCAGAAGTCCCTCGGGCGGCGACGTTTCTTTTTACCGGGAGAAGAGTACACGATTAGGGGTGGTTTAATGGTAGCTTTCGAAATCCTCACCCCTCGCGTTAATTAAACGGCCCACTTTTATCGGATACGTTGACTTTACACGGCTTAAGAAAAATTTCCGGACCTCATTCTTATGTTTTTTTTTTTTTTTTCATTTTAATCAATCTTGATACCCGGTGGAGGGTGGTCAGATTTTTCATAAGGAAGGCGAGGGGCCCGAGTCGAGGGTCGCGATCTTCGATCATCGAGCGATCCATGGATTGTCGATAATGCGACGATAATAGTCCTGATAACGGCCCCGGGGGTGATTTAGGTTCCTAGGGCCAATAATGTCGCGCCTCGGCGATTATTACCGCCGTCGGTGAGGTCGGCAGGACTCGGTGGCATAAATCAGGACCTCCCCGAATGCGGCTCGATTTTCTAATCGGGACCTCTCGACGCCCCCCGACGTCCTCGTCCATTTTGCAGCCTCGTCGTCGAAGTTTCCCCAGGTCGAGGACGGCCCGTAATCCGCCGCGGTTTTCGCACCCCCGGAGCCCTTGGGGGGTGGGGACGTTTTAAAATTCGCTGGGAAACGAGCGCAACCCCCAACCCCCTCGGAGCTTTTGAAAAACCCTTGGAACGTTAGACCGCCTAATGAAATATTAAACCCCGACGCGAGATCCGCAAACAACCCCCGGGAAGACGCGCACCCCGTTTGTGTCGCGGGCCTAAAAGTGGCGGGCGAAATTTCCAGATTGCATTGTCATATATCAAAAAGCTTACCTTGACGGATTTTAAGCAGTTTACGTAAATTTAGCGCGTTCAAATCGTGTACTTACACCTCGCGATCGGCTGCACGCCAAATGCGATACCAGGCAAGATTTGCATAGAGAAATATTTCGATAACTCGAGGAAGAATTATTTCACGAAGATAAATAAATTCCTATGAGTGGGAGGTAACATTTACGGGGAATTCCTATGGTTAGATGAAATTTCCTTTTTCTTCGGGGTGGAACTTGACGTTCGGGGGGGTAAAGGTGGAGGTCGGAATTTCAAGGGAGATCCAGAGGGAGAGAATTTGCCGTCTCTCTCGGAACCCCGTGAAAAGCTACCCCGGAAATTCGGTATGATGTCGAAAAATCCCATTTAAATGGTAGAACCACGTGTAACTCGAAATTTCGAGTCGCGGAGTGAAACGGAGGTCGGAGGATTCCGGCGAGGGCAGGTTCGGGTGGGTGGCCGGGGTCCTGGCCGAGATTTAGGGGTCCTCTTGGGGGGTTCTCGGGGGGTGATTCGTGGATTCGAAGATAGGGCGTAAAGCACGTTGCAGGGGCTCGCGGCAAATTAAGCTCTCTCCCATTGGCCCGCGGATTCACACCCGCGGCCCGGCTCGGATTATATTCAGATATATTACAGATTGCTCATTATCTCGGGGCACGCATTATGAATCACGCCGAGCCCGGCGTAAATAGAGTGCGCTTCGGCTAACTCATAATAACGAAGGCCCGGCGCGGCGGGGCGCATTAAGTGCAGATTTATTGTAATTCCACGGGCGCGATTGCCGGTCCCCCCCCGTTCCGCATTCGGCGAATCCGCGGAAAATCCGCGCTCGTACCGGCCCGGAACGGCCGCAATCGGCGGATAATCGACGGCCGTCGGGGGTGGGGGGAAACTTCCCCCCGGAAAATTCGGATCCCGGGCCCGGCAGATGACGCGATAACCGCGAATTGGCCCCGAGTACTTATCGGTATCGTTACGGCGCGGCATTGCCGGCCCAATTAATTTACCCCGGAGCTCATTGTCGGTGGAAAATCCGCGAGGAGGGGGGGAGGAGGCGAAAATCCCGATTTCCGACACCGTACCCTCGGCACGTGTTCCGGAGGCCGCGGGAAAAACGGTACCGCCCGCGAATAACGAAATGGCCCGAAAAATGGCCCCGTTAATCGGGGAATATTGGCCGGAAGTGCTTTTACTCCCGGCGTGATTATAATTATTCCGCGCTGGTAGATTGGCCTTCCTCCCTACCGTCCGACGGGGTGCATACCAGGAGGCGGAGGGAACGTTTACGGGGGATGTCGGGGATGTAACGAAGTTCCCGGGACGAGCGGTTACACGGACTCTGGCCCACGTGGGGGAATATAGATAGAAACAACCCGCTTCCCTTTCGATCGGATTCATTTTCTTTTGAATATCCTCGGGAAGGGAAACAACGATAGCTATTGTCCTAACCGATTTTCAAGTGGTCGCTCTTCTAAATGATATAATAAAAAAGAAAGAAAAAAATGATTTCCCCCGATTTTCTAGTCGTACCCCGAGGACCGAAGTCGGAGGCGCTCGAAAGCGGCCGCTAAAATTCGAAAAATTCGAAAAATCGTTTCCACCCCCCTTACGAAATCGGCGTATTTTTCCTCGGGATTGCAATTATTCCCGGGACGGGGGGGAGGCGCGATATCGACGTATCGCCGACCGGGGACAATTAACCAATGGCCTGTGTCCTCCTCGCGGCGTAATGCGGCGCAGGTTAGGACGCAGGGCCCGCGCCATAGGAATTGGTGCACCCCGAACGGGGGCAAAATAATCGGACGTCGAGAGTTATGGGGCGCGAACCGGCGGCCGGTTAATCAGCCACCGATAATTATCGACACGGGCAGTACATCAAGCCCCCCCTCACCCCGTTCATCCCCCCGACGCCCAACATGGACGCCGGCGCCCCGTCTCTCCCCGGCCCTCCTCCCTATACCCGCTGCCGTGACAAACGCACCGCCGATACCATCATTTATTTCACAAATGCGCTGCAAAACTGCCGCTATTCATTTTCCGGAGTCGATTCAGTTTTCCGCCCTCCCATACGGGGGCGACGCCGCTACCCCCCGCGAAGTCCCGACGTCGTGTCTCTTACTTCTTGAGTAATCGATAAGGGACGCCGATCTTCCGGTCCCGTGGAATGAAATTTGGAATTTTTGAGAAGACGACTCCATACGCGAGGCTTTTTATTTTATTGCTTTTTTGGGGGTGAGAGGGATTGGTATTTTGAATTTTTGGAACTCGGTCCGGAGTTCCGGGATTTTTGGCAGGTGATAGAGAATTTCTTGAGGTTTTATCGGTGAAATGGATGGCGGTGTCTTTTTAAGTTTTGCGGAGGTGTCCTCGGGGGGTGGGAGGGCGCAAGAGGCGGAAGAGGGCACTCGGCGAGAAGAGTAAACGCGAAGGGACGGCGAAATGTCGGCGAGGACGAGGCGTCGGGACGTCTCGTTGGCGTAGCGTTAAATATTCAGGGCGCGGGCCTTAATTGCGGGAAAAAGGCGACAAAATCAGCCCCCTTAACCTTACGGAGGAGCCGGAATTGCGCGGACCGCGCTAACTCGTCAAGGCCTCCCTTCCTCCCGACCTGGTCGAATAAATTAGTAAAAACGTCGGCTATACACCCTATCCCCAGGCGTTGAACTCTCCCGTCTCCGCCGAGGATTAATTTGGCAATAATTATCCGACGTATCGATCTTACGCGTCGCCTCTCTGCGAGAATTAACCCCCCGAGATCGGAGGAAACGCCACATCCAACTAATCCATCTTCTACCGAATTTCCCTACAATTTATTCCCGGATATAAAAAGTGCACTAATTAATTCCATTGGGTCATTTCGGATGTCTGACGTGTTTCTTCTCGATTGATTTTTTTTTTTTCCCCGTAATACCAGAGGCCCGAAATTTCATTTGTTAAAATTAAATTTTGAGAAACATAGGGGGCTTCTTCGAGAGCCGCCAATTTTTCGGGGGAAAAATGGAAAATCGGAAAAACATACGAGGCCTGGAACGTGTACGAGCCTTCGAGCAATGCTGACCCCCTCCTCTCCCTCTCCTGGACGGAACGGGAAAAAAAGCGGGGAAAAAAAACAAACAACAACATTAAAAACAACAGAAATTGAACACTGCCGAGTAAAACACTCCCGCGGGATGGACGTCCGGGGATATTTGGACGGTTTTGAAAAATTGTCGGCAAATTGTTCCCCGCCTGGGGCGGGGTACCTCTTCCCCGATTTTCGCTGGGGCCCTTTGTTGGGAGGTCCCTACTTTTCCCGAGGACCGGGGAGTGCGACTCCACGTTTTCGAAATTGACCGATGGCGCGTCCCTCGGGATATCTTCGGATTCCGCCGACACCGGCCCTCGAATTTCCCTCTTTCGTGGAACCTCCTCCAGGGAAAATGTCCGGAGGACCCTCTGAGGGCGTCCTCCCAGGTCTTCTCGATTAACGTTAACCAAATCGATCGACCCATCTAGGATATTAAAATATCCGAGAAATAAAAAATATATCAGGCCAATTGCTCGCGTAAGTATCAGGATAGAATTTCCTCGGAATTTCTGAATTTCATATTTTCTCGGCTGTCAAGTAACTCGTAGGGAAATTTCACTGGAACGTCGCGTCTTGATTAACAGTCTGAGCTCTATTGACATATGGGCGAGATTCGTGAATACGTGCAGGCAATATTGGACCGAACGTCGGACGCATACATGCGGCGGTAATCCGCAAAGGGTGAAAAATTTTACCATTTTGGGAAGGTCGTGATTTTGGCAGTTTTGCCCCCCTGGCATGTCTTCGGGTTCTCTCCTCGGAGGAGATCTCCCATTTCGCGACAAGTCCACGGACTATTAAGCAACCTAGAGGGGACTTTCCGTGCCATTACTCAAAGATGGCGCCGCAGTCCGGCGGCCTAATCTCGGCACATGAGACCTTAATGGGATTTTAAGGCGTCGAGGCCACCTGCGCGCGAACGGGGCTGTAGGTCGATCTCGTTTGTCTTTCCACCCCTGGACATTCTTATTCTATTCAAGACCGTATTATGTACCCCGACCCTCCCCCTCCCCTCCCTTAGCGAGAATTTGCCCACCATCGATCGTCGAAAATCGAGTTTTTTAGGGCCACCCTCCAGGACACTGACAGGGAGGAAAAAAGAGTCAGTTCTCTCGAAGAAATTACTGACGTACATATATACATATACATATCGTTGCCCGAGATGCATACAATTATACAAGAAACAATAACCCTCTTCGGAAGAAAGTTTCCGAATTTTTGGGAGGGGCAGTTTTTACCCTGTTAAAAAAAAATTCACAAAATTCATTAACGCCACTAATATTTAAGGTCGTAGTAAAATTAACGTTCAATATCATGTGCCGAGACGATAGAAAATTTATAACATATGTTATAATTTTATTACGCATGTGTACTAAATTTATAATATATGTTGTACATTTTGTTTGAAAATTTGATCGGTGATGCGTTTCTTCGAGTAGGCTCATTTCTTGTCTCGGGGATTTAGTTTGAAAAGGAACGTTGCTTCTTTCTCGTTACAGTGTCGGGGTTGGCAGGGCGCATTTTGAGAAGCAACCCCCGAGCAACCTGAGGAAGAGCAACTTCTTCCACTTCGTGATCGCCCTTTACGATCGGGCCGGCCAGCCCATCGAGATCGAGAGGACGGCCTTTATCGGCTTCGTCGAGAAAGACCAGGTGAGTCCTCGATTTTTAATATTAAGGCGGTATCGAAGGTGCCGTTCGCGATACCTTTGATCGTGATTACCACGACAAGCTGACGATAAGCCGAGAAAGTGCGCTTTAAGGCGAATTTTCGAAATTGCCAGGACACCCTGCGAAATTATTTGTTATCATTAAATCCAGGGTTTTCGGAATCGTCTCTCCCGGTGGGAGTGCTCGATTGGGTGCTCCTAGGGATATAATCATGCTAAGTGGCGATACCAATCGGCAATTTTTTGAGCCTTCCCGAGGCGGTCTTCCTGTCGGCATCGGATATCACCTCGCGGGTGTTATCGCGATAATTGCCGCGGCCATCGGGCCGGCCTCGAATATTAAAGAGGAGGAAAACTTTTCCGAGGGCTTTTCCGCCGATTGGGGCCGACACGTGGAAATCAATCGAAGAAGCGAGGGTACTCTACGTGGCGGAATTTCAAATGGTTTCCCGGTTTTTGGGAGAACCATCGCCAAGCATTATGGGTGTTATCAGGGATATCGATGAAATCTGGGATTAATAGGACCTTATCAGTCGGTACTTATCAATGGGAATTCCCCCCGAAGTGGGACGTGCAATTGTCTTACGGGGACGCGCCCGGCTTTCCTTGGTCAATTAGTACGTCTTTTTAAGGCGAGTCGGCATGTACGCGGGTATGTACCTCGGACGTACGTGTACATACTCTCTATGTACGACCTCTTGCGCAAGAGAAATCGTTAGGGACGCGACGGATTTGCCGGTTTATCCACCGGCAAGAGCTATTACCCCTCTGAGAGCGTCCGGACGTAACTCGGGAATCGTGGATTCGCCTTTAAGGGTCGATTAGAAATTCAAATTTCTCGCCTTACGCATCTCCCCCCGCCCTCCCCCGTCGCCCTCCCCCGGTAATGGGGGGCCTCGATAAATCCATTTGCCCTGCGAGATCGTGGAATTTTTCACCCCTTCGCCCGAGGGGGGCGAGGAACCCTCCAATTTGGAAATTCGACGGTATATCCTGGTTTTCTTCGCGAATCTCGCACTATTCTCTCTAAAAGTACATGACGTTCACTTGGAAGTATGGAAATTAAATGGTCAGGTTCGACATAGAAATGTAATACAGAGATTCGATGGGGAAATTAATTGGCAAAGTCATGAAAGTATGGAAATTAAGCGGAGAAATTAATTGGAATAAATTCAATGGTGAAATTTAATGGGAGAAGTACGCTCAAGGTAATTCGAGGCGGATGTTGAGAGCGGAAATGATGTCCTGGTACGTGTAAAAAGGACCTTCGAATTTGAATCCCTGTTGTCGAGGACAGTTCCCGCCGCGTCCTCTCGGGGCTTTCCTAAAATAGGAGGAAAAGGGAAAAGCGGAACTCTTTAACTGATTGAGCCTCTCGCCACGTGGCGGAGTTTACACTCGCGTGTACACGGCTTACACGTGTAGGCACCTAATTACTCCGTACACCGGGCAATGTAATTCCTGCCGGGCCGAAAAAGGAGGGAAAAAGGGGAGCGAGGTAAGCTCACGCGATGCCTCTTATCAATCCGAGGAGATTGTCGCGTTAATCTCCCGATTAGTTGCAACGAGGATGAAGGAAATACTTGCAGAAGAAGGCATTTTCGTTTACCTTCTTACTGAGTAATCAGGTACTTTTATCGATCCTATCGAGACTCCCCGAAGGAGTAATTAATATTTTTCTTTTGCACCGTCCCATAACTGTGCAGTTTTATCGGCCCTTCGATCTCTCCTCCGATCGGGAGATGAGACGGTTCGACGGTTCGTCGACGGGATGCAAAGTCGACTCGTGACAAGGATATCGCCGGGCGGTGTACACGCGTGCATAATTCACGGAAGGCCGGACAGTTGCATCGCGTGGCCTCCTATTAATTAGGGTCATGCACCGAGAGCATACATCAAGTAGGGCGAGCTCGACCCAACGTCCGGCCGGGCGGGCATTTACATATTTTCCCGTCATTCAATTATTTAAGAAAGGATTCCACTTTGGGGCGATAACAGCGGCGCCCTTATCGGCGAGGCATTCCCTTAAAAGCTTGCCCGGGCTGGTGGGGATTACAAGGGGGTAGATGGGGTACAAGGGGTCGCGAAGGGCCCCGAAGTCCGTTTTGTATGAAGTTTCCATCCCTTTCCCATTTTCCGTCGTTCGCGCTAATTAAAAGTCTCCCATTTCACCCGGTGGTAGGTTACTCCTGATTAAGCCGGACCCGGTCATTCCCGTCCAGGGCGGAATTTAATCGCGCCCCGACATTCTTACCCCCTGATAAATCGAGATAAATTCCATCGGTGACTCTCTTCGACCCCCCTAAGATGATACGAAAGGCGCCGAGATACTAAATCGACGTCGATAAATTGAAATTCATCTATACCCTTTTTGGTGGGAACGTCATTTTGAATACCCAGGTGGGAGCATAAGGTGGCGCGTCCCGGTACCGACATTTATAATTACGTTTAAATCCTTTACAGTCTACCTTGAGAAGTAGGTGAGAGGGTGAAAGTATTTTCCATACTTCTCGAGTGAACGACTCGGGTTTATTTTTTTTATTTTTTTTTTTCCCTATCTCGCTAGAGGAAGTGATTTTTTTCGCTAGGTCCCGGGGAACCTCCGTCCCCTCTTCTAGGGGGAAGTGACGTAAGGTATAAAATTGGAAGGACGTCGGCCAATATTCGAGATGGTCTAAGGCACTCTTAGGGGTTGATCGCGCCTAAGGGGGTGGGTTGTTGAAAATGCATTACCTCGCCGCGGCATATGGCGCGCTGCACGCATGACTCGTCAACGGGCCGGATAATTATGCATCGCGGCGCACCACGCAATACGTAAATGGTGCGCGGCTCTTAGGCGCGCATCAAGAAATTAATAATTAGCGTGAGATCGCCTCCGGGCCGCGCGACTCGACAATTAATTAAGGATAATAGCGACTTTGCCGAAGGAGCTCGCCCGCTCGAGGCACCGCCTTAAATCCTGCCGAGGGGGAAATCCTCGCGAGAGGCGATTCCGCACTTTCCGAAAGGTACAGGGAAAGGACCTAACCGATTGATCGGCAATTCCTCTTGACCTTGGATCTCCAGAAAGGAAAAGGAAAACGATTAACCAAATTTTTCTCTCTCCTGATTTCAGGAGTCCGAGGGCCAGAAGACCAACAATGGCATTCAGTACCGACTGCAGCTACTCTACGCGAATGGTGAGAACAAATTATATATATATACACTTTTTGTTGTCCGTTTAACAATTTTCATAATTTCTCGAGATGTCTCCGGATTTTCCACGATTTTTCTCTGTTGTTCCTGGGTTTCTTGTTTTTTTTTCTTGAATTTTTGGGATACTCCTTAGTTGGGAGAATGTCGATTTGTTGCGTTATCGATCGGTGATAGAGAGGCTAAGTTACAAAGGCCGAAGCCGCCATGGCGAACGGGGCCCTACTATGACGGGCCATCAACATTCCAAGGCGACACCCGACTCGAATGGCCGCTAAAAAGTTCCCGAGTTTCGCGGCACTCTCAACAGAGACATATTTTACGTCACCCGAGCTGCGGGGTGCCACCCCCCGCAAAAAGAGGGCCCGCGGTTTTGGGACCAGAGTGTGACGAGGCGCCGCGCGGGGCCCCCAAAAAGCGAGCGCATTATGGACGTATTAAAAACCCTTGAAAGGCACTATCCTCCCGGTGATATTTCGAATGAGGCCCCGAAAAACGCGGCTATCGTAAAGATATTAAAAAAAAAAAATGAAGAAGAAAACCTCGAAAGACATTATCCTCCCGGTGATTTTTTAAGTGAGGTCCCAAAAAATTGGCGTATCTTGTAAATCGTTAAAAATGTCTTGAAAGACGTTCCATGTAACGATCCGCGTTAAATTCTCGGGATTTAAGAGAACATTTTGAGAGCAATCCCTGAATAAGTCCCATCCCCATCTCATCTTTGGTCCTTCCGGATGGTGAGCGGGTATTCGAGCTCCCCCTACCACGTACACACGCGTGCACTTATCTCCCTCTTTTCCCCTCTTTTTCTCCCCTCCTCCCTCGGGCCCGAGGCATCTCCCGGTTTTCTTGCTCCTGGTGGTGGGATCCGATCAATCAGTCCGGGATTTTTGCGTTCGCGGGCCCGACTGAAGGGGCCGCCCTGCCATCTATGGGCACTAAAACGTGTTGCCAACATCGCTAACAAGAAATAACTAACTGTTGCAAAGTAAGGTATATACCGACGCGCGCTCCTCCTGGAACATTATCCTCCAGATCTGAGGATCTGGATCCCTCGCGCCGATTTATGCCTCCATTCCCCCCTCTCATCCTCCATCCGCATCTTCCATAAATTAATATCCTCGTTCGTTAAAACAAATCCTGATAATTCACCCCTTATCGGTGTCCTTATTTCCCTTTCTTCGGCGAAGCTTCAGCGGCTACGGGATGAAATTCCATTAACGCTAGGATCGCATGAAACGAAAAGTGAAACACCCCGCCCTTCCTTATCACCGAGTGTTCTCTGCTTTCTATTTCGAATGTTAATTAAAAAAAAAAGTTACACATTGTCGAGGGAGCATCGGCTGCTACCATGGTGTCTTTCTATGGTCTATTTTTTTTTTACATTGTTTCTTTCCTTTTTATCGAGGGGTCCTCCGATTTTTCTCTATTTTTCAACTAATCCGATGCACCTTTACGGAAGCGAGGTGCAAGGAATCGTGGATTAAAAAATAGGGGGAAGAAGGTGTTTAGTGCTTCTTCTTCTTGGAGGTGATCGTCGCAGCTATGCATTCCCCGAAGGACGGGAATCGCTCGACAAATTGCCGGGCTGAAGAGTCGTTTATCCGCCGATCGGTCGGGCAATAAATCTATAATTAAATAATAAATAAGGAGCGATCGGCCAGCCAGGAGTGACGGCAAAGTCTAGCCATATCGGGGGTTACCCCTTTTTGTCCGCGTTCTCCGACTACCCTTTCCGCGCCTGGTATCGCGATTACGCGTTTCCAAAGGAGGGGGATCGCAAGAACGGGATGGAACTATTTCAGGGAAGAGCTCCAGGGTACCTGGTGGACGGAAATTAGATTAGACGGGACGCTGGTGAATTTCCTGTTTTTTTTTCCCCCCTTTTTTTTCCGTTCGCCTTGGCGAAGTCGACGTCAAAGTCGCGGCTAAAATTACTATCGCTACCTGGATTAATTTATTTCCCTCTTACAGCCAATTACCGCAGATTACAGTTTTTCGTTACCCACTTTCAATGCGTTATTCCAATAAATTAATATATATATATATATATATATATTATCGGGATTGGAGACTCTCTCTATTCAGGAAATCGAGCAGCTTATCTGTAGAGGAAATTTTCCCGTCCTTGCGCCTCCCGAAGTGGTTAAAAAAGCGGTCGGCTATAAATAACGAGGGCCTAGATATCGAGAGAACGAGTGTCGAGGTGTCACCTCGATTGCCAATGACAGGCCTGAATCGATCCGAGGCCCGTCGTCGATCTCTCTATACGGAAGCGTCCTTCGAGGCGCAGAAGTCGATCCTGGGATCTATTCTTTGGTAACTGCGGGCATGGAGTTTAAATCCTGAATTTGGGCGAATCTCCGGGAGAGATTTCCAGCCCCGGTCGTTTCGGGAAGTTTGGGCAAAGCCTCCGGCAGCCTTTCTTTGGATAATTTGTCAGCTGGTTTAGGGCTGGCTAAGCCGAAGCTCCGGCATTATGCACCGAGCTGGACCAACGTGGTCCGGTACCGGACCACCGGTGGCCTCCGTCCTCGGACAGTCTTATGTCGGGATTACATGGATTACTGGGCCCGTAATGAGAGCACTGCCCCCCGAAAGCCGAGGAACTGGTCGGAAAAGAACCGAGAGATTGTCCAGAGATCCCGAAGAGAGTGATTCTGGTTCGCGATATGATGAATTTTTCGAAATCCTCGAGTGATATGGAAAAATAGAGTAATCCTATTTTGTGATATGACGAATTTTTGGAAATCCTCGAGTGACATGAAATGATGAACAGGGACTAGAAGAGCTTGCGAAATCCATAAAGGACCTCGGACCTCTATCGTATGAATGTCCTCCTCCTCTCGGTTAAAAAATATATAAATAAATTCCGGAAAAAATGGAGGCGCCGAAAAATTGATAGGACAAATCGGGAGGGCCAGTGCGCAGTACGTGGACACCTCTTCGGGTATCCGGGAAGGGGCGATAAATCTCTGGGCGAAAAGCCAAGGAACACGTCGGAAAGTCCGGACCCTGTCGACGGGGACACAAATAACGAGAGCAATAGTTATTCCGCGAGCATAGCCGGCGCGTCTCGGGGATAAAAATTAATGATCCCCGAGAGGAGCACGTGCGCGACCGGACCTCATATCCCGTGGGCTTTTCTCTGGACTACCGCTAAAAATTGCCACGCAGGCTTACCTCGAGCGGGGACCCGCGATTCCGCAAAAAGCGAATCGGCCGATTGTGCATACGTCCCCGGGGACCGCCGGGGGCTTGGACGAGTCTTAAGTGGATTTTAATGTGGGACTTCTTGTCGATATCCAGACTCGCCGACTCCTCGACGCGTTATGCTCCGGAGAGAGTACCGGAGATCGAGGAACGATCTTTTCAGGTTAATTTTTTTTTTTTTGATTTTACGGGAAAAATGTCCCGGACGAAACGCAAAGAAATGACCCGGAGGGTCGGCTTCGATTATTGATGATTTTTTTTTTTCTCGAGCCTACAATTTATATTTTTTTTTAATTAATTTAATTTACTCGGTTGGTGTTATTTCATCTCGTCGATTTGTCCACTTAGATTGAGACTTTGAATGTCGTTTGATTTCAGGCGTCAGGCAGGAGCAGGACATCTTCGTCAGGCTGATCGACTCGGTGACAAAGCAGGTGAGAATCTAGCTGAAATTCAGATACGCGGGCCTCTCCTCGGGGTGGGTGGGCGCCCGGAATAAATGCACGCTATCGGTCGGCCCGCAAGCCTTTAATTTTCCAGGGGGTTGGCTTCTGCCCCTCCGAGAGCGATCCTCCACTTTGGCGACCCCCGGCCGTTATCTCCGCCACGTGGCGCCCCCTGCATCCTGTCAGGACGCGGGACCGGAGATCCTGCGGGATGATAGGCCGAAAGAAGGATCATAACCTCCCGGCGAACGCAAATACGCCGGCAGATTACGACCCGGATAAGGCTTTATGCTCAGGGGGTGGACACCCCCCTCGGGCCGGACCACCCCCGACTTTTTCCCCCCGGTGGAAACCGAACGGCAGTTCGCACCTCTTTTGCTCTGACTTTCGGGTCTTACACCTACCGCCCCGGTTAAAAGGATAACCTCGAAATTCCATCCAAAGGGCCGAAATAAAAATGTTCTCCCTGTTTAGATCACGAGTACCTTATCATGCTCTAACTTCCTATCTTTCCATGTACTCGTTTCGATTTGGAGAGGGAGAAAAAAGGAAGAAGAAAAAAACTAACCTCAAAATACCTCGAAAAGGAATTAATTTTTCCCCGTTTCCTGGGGATATTTGCGAGGGCTGTTGAACGGGGCTCGGAGAATTGGCGGGGCCTTCTTCGGAGGCTTTTTCAAGGTTCCTTTGGACCTCTCGGTCGGATTGCGAAGACCACCTTGGGGTAGGTTGCGAGTCAACCTGTGGCCGAGGGCGCGCCGTTTTAGCAAGATTAAATCATCTCGAGGTCTGTTACCGGCGAAGGCTCCGAGGGGCTGAAGAAACATGGCCGATGTTAGTTTTAGCTGATTAAATTACTAAGCCGCGGTGGCCTTGCTCGGGCAGACGCAGGGGTGTTCTCGATTCGCCGTTCAATTCCTTTTATTAATCGAGGCGCAACTCCCACCTTAAGGTGACGTAAAACTGGCGAAGTGGTTCGCGGAAACATTTCTCCGTGCTGGGTTACGAAAAAAAATTGTAGACATTTAAAGTACTCTGGGGAAAAATTGAAATTTTACGCCCCTCGAGACCTTCGTTACAGCCTTAAAATTGACGATGCAAATTTTGAGACGTTTCGGTACACCCGGTTCGGTGAAAAGTTTCATATTGATAGCTAATCATCATTGATACCTAACATGCCACTTTCGCCCCCCCCCTTAACTCGAGGGTTGTTTCGCCATCGGATGTGATATATCCACTTAAAAGATGAAGAAATAAAAAAAATGAAAGGTAAAGAAACAGGGGATACAGGGAAGACACTCTTCCCTTTGTTCTCCCGGTTGAGCACGAGGGAGGTACAAGTCGAGGGGTGGAAAACGGTGATCGCAGTCGAGCCCCACCCCCCGGGCAGCCCCGATGGATCGATCTGGCCAAAGGGGTAGAATCGAAAACGAGAGAGAGCTGCAATTTATACATCAAAGCCTCGATTGAAGCCTCGTCTTCGTTTCTTCGAGGGATTCTCTGCCGGAAGGAGGATCTGCGGAAATGTAGAGCGCCGCGGAAACTCCGTGTTTGGAGGATCGGAAGGGGGTCGCCATTTTTCCTCTCGATCCCTCCCTAGATCTGGATTTCAGGGGCGAGTCATCCCCCGGTAAATGCGATAGCTTTCGATAGCCGGGACCAAAGGAAAGAGTAATTAAAAGGAAATTGGAAGTCCCCGTAACTGGGATATATCCTCTTTTGGTGCACCTCCGGCCGGGGGTCGAATGTCCCCTGGAGAACGTCCTGGCCGCTCGTTCGCCAAGTTATTACGGGGTTATTTTCCCGGGGTGGAAGCGGTAAATGCTAATTAGATCCCCGGTAAGAACGTTAGCGGTACGATCCCGAAGGGTACGCGTTAACGGAGTTACATAGCGGGGGATAATAAACGCCGTTGAAAACTCCCTTCCCGATGCACCGCCGGTTGCATCTCCCTATCCCTCGCGAGATAAGCACGGCGATGCAATTCCCGCAATTTCACCTGACTTGAGAAAACGAATTACCGCCGCTCAAAGGTAAAGCAAACGTTTCCGTGAATTCTTTGAAATTTTTTCTTAAAAGTCGTTAATAATTTTTTTTTTCCCCCGAAAAACTAAGCTCAAGACACAGGGATGTATATGGATTCCCATGGTGGATGCAACACGCTATTGCGTGCATCTCGCCTACCCCTTGCAGCGGGATGCATTTTCCGGGGCGGAATTAAACGCGAAGGCGGCGGAAATTATTTTCAATGGTCGGCTGCATCTGCCTCCCACCCCCCAAGGGGGAGAGGGGGGACAGGAGCCGTGTCAAATAATGCCTTGTTCGTGTACGGATCCCGCGGGATAACCGGGCTCTCCCGGTAAAGGAGACCGGGATAGGGAAAAACGAGCTCGGAACCAATCACCGCCTATGCAGGTTTAATATTCCGCACTCGGACCTGCCGAGAGGGCCGGGAATCGAGAAAACCGTGTGCCAAATCGCGGATTCGCTCATGGGGATCCAATCGAGTCGATTTCCCACCCGTTTTCCACCCCCCTAGCTGACTTGTACCGATTAAAAGGAGGCTGTGTAGAATATCCCGCAAAGGTGTTAGACTCGACAAGGGGTGGTTTTCCAAATTCGGCGGTGCTTTCTTTTTGGGCCGCGATCGAAATTCCCGGAAAAATAATTGCTTACATAACCTCGAAAATGCGTAAAATATTTTCCGCGCTGTCTGATGAGGCAATAAAAAAAAGGGGGATGTCACCGATAAGAGGTGATTTTCCAAATTCGCAGGTTTTTTCTCCTTTTTTATTTTTTTTTTTTTTATTTTTTTTTCTGGGGCGCGATAAATATATTTCTCTGACGTCGAGTGGAGCAATTCTTCATGGGAACGTGGATTCAGAGATCGGCTATCGGGTCCCGGAAGGCGCTTATCGGGGGCTGTTTGGCGGCGTATGCGATGCTAATGCCGAAATATGACTATTTAAACGTAGATCGGGGAAATAATAAGCTGCAGATAAGTTAATCCCCCGGCCGGATAAGGGAAGAAAGATTGGGGCAGTAGATCTCCGCTATCTCGAGGGGAGACGAGAGAGGCCGACATTGTTCATACGTGTTGTCTCGTGTAGAGGCGAAGGACCAGAAATCGTAGGGAGGGGGCTAAAAGCCGGGACACGCCAGGAAAAGGGCGAATCCCATGGGACCGCGGAATAATCGATTCGCCATGGAAATCATGGTTCGAGATTTAAATGCCCCCCCGCGAACCTATCGGGCTTAGGCTAATGTCTAATCCCCCGCAAGTTCCCTGCAAATGGGCGCCTCTTACTCCGTGCCTACCATTTTTATTCGTCTTTTCACACTCTAGTCTTCTATGAAAAATGTTTGTCTCCCCTGAATATAATTTCTATTTGTTTACTTTCTAATTCCGGCTTTCGATAAAAATTTTCTCCCTGGTAGAGAAGGAAAATCCCTGCAAAGGGGCGCCTCTTACTCCGTGCGCGTAATTTCTATCGATTGATTTCCTCGGTCCAGCCTTTGATAAAGATTGTTTCATATCTCCTTGAGAAATATCTCTGGAGAGAATCCCGATGGCCGGGATAGAGGCGACTTGTCCTTTCCGGGGAATCCGAGGAGATCGGCTCTATTAGTCCTCGGCAAGTAATTCCCGTGGGAATTAGACGAGGCGGTAAGCAAACGCCCGATGGGACTTCCGGAAGCCGAAGGAGAGCCCCGGGGGAACGATTCGACTGGTCGCACCCTCAGGACGCGTCTGACGTCGCTCTCTTCCACCTCCCGGTCTCCTCCACCCCCTCGAGTCCGGTTGTATATATGGGGCATATCCCCCTGAAACCCCAGGGCACCCATGCCGACACTTCCGGGACCAGTCCTCGGACCGACTAGACTCCTCCTGGTCCCCAGGTCGATGCTTCTTTCCCGGACGGGACCTCTTCGACTGAGGATACGTCATTTCCTCCGAGAGTCGACACCTCGACTCCTAGCCTCCCAGGTCTTCTTATACGACTGATATGAGTCGATAGCTTCTAATATCGCAACTATAACTCCTCCTTACGGTAAAATCGATCACTTTTAATCGGGTCATCTTTGTCAGGGTGGAGTCGAATGTAATTTCCTTTCCTCGGGGTCCTGGGTCACGTCCTTACTATTATAGGATTTACCTACATGTCCGCAATACCTATACGTAATCATCTTATAGGTATCGACAATCAATACTCCGATTGATAGGTTCTCTTGAATTCCCCTGAAGATTTTGCCATTCTTTTTTCTTCCTGCGATTGGAATCATCTTATCGAGGTGTCGCGTAGTACCTATTCTCTTTTTTTCTCTCTTTGTTTGTCGTCGCGGTGAAAAATTCACGTCGCAGGTTAGCCAGTGCCCTGGTGTAATTGTTGGAAATTGTTCGTAAGTAGTGTCGAAGGAGAAACAAATAACGGAGTCTCGCCCCCGCCTGGCAAATTGACTCTAAACAAACACTTATCGCATGTTGCACCACACCGTCCATTGTCTCTGTTTGAACAGCCATCCCGCGATGTACTCGCTGTACCTGTCCAGGTGCGAAGTGTCACCCAGGACCTTCTTCCTGAAAAAGAAACTCCCGAATCAAGGACCATCAGGGTCCACGTCTTTCTAACCATTTAGTTTGTACATAAATAACGTATCCAAGTAAAAATAATAAGGAGTAAAAAAAAGATAGATAGGAAAATCCTTCGATGCAATTCTAAGGGCGATGCACCAAGAACTCCCCTTCCGGCGTGAACGTCACCCTTATCTCCTGGAGGGTTAATATCCGCCTTGCGGATACTTATGTTAATTGTTCGAGGAACAAATAAGTTCGCATGACTTTTTACTATTAAGGACTGCCCCGGTAACGAGCTGAGCACACGTAACCCTGCGGATCCTGTCTCACTTAACCCGTCTCCATTTCCGCTTCCTTTGTCCCCCCCGTTTAAGGTTTCCCGAAAACGTCGGGAAAGACCGGAAAACAGCGGAAAACTTTCCCGGGGAATTTTTTCGGCAATCGGAACTGGCGTTTGCGGTCCCCTCTCGCATCGCGACTGCCACCCCTTTGCGTTTGATATCATTATCAACGTTATCCTGCCAACGTCACGCCGGGGCAAACTCCCCAGGATATTGTATTTCACGCGATTTACATTTAATCGCGATCGCCGATCCGTTTCCGATTCGAGGATTTCCGGTAAATACTCCGCGGGAAAATTCGGAGGTCCTTCCCCGACGCGTTCCGCCGCGGCGCCGGATCAAAGGACCCGCGAGCCTTTATTATTCCGCGGGTAATCCCCCGGCTTAAGGACCCCATACATAAATACATGGAGTCGACGCAGCGATGCGTTGTCATTAAATAAAAATCAATCAGGAGGTCGTAAGGCAGGCTTAGCGGATTTGCCAGGGCCGCCCATGGCTTAGGTCCTGCCGAGGGTCCTGGAGGATCCTCGGGATCTCTCCACTAGCTCGCTCAAATCCGGGGACCTGTAACTATCCCAGGACTAATTGACCCTCTCTTGCCGGATCTTATAAACATCCCTGAAACGTTACTTCGTCTACTTTACGGGGGAAACACCTTTTCTTTTTTTTTACAGGCCATCATGTACGAGGGCCAGGACAAGAACCCCGAGATGTGCAGGGTCCTGCTGACCCACGAGGTGATGTGCAGGTGAGACATCCTTCCTTTGACATTTCACGTCACCCCCCCACGTGAGACTTCTTAACAAACTCAATTTCACTGTTGAAAAATTTCATAAAATTCACATACACTTTTGGTACATAAAGTTGGAGTGAAATTATAAATTTCGCCGTCTTAACAATGAATTGATATACATTTATTATGAAATTCTAAGTGAATTCACTGTTACACCGTATTGTAATTCCGTGACATCGCGGAGAGAAATGATAAATTTGATATTCCAAAGTCATTTGGTACGCGTTGTTTGCAAATTTTCTTACTTTAGTTTATCAGGGATTTCTTTTAACGCATCTCGAGTACTTACATCCGTGCACGTACGTCATAGTCGAAACGAGTGTGCACGTAAGTAGTGGCTCAATCCACTCCGTACCGCAGGCAGCCACCCTTGCGGTAGTAAACCATAAACGTAACGAGGCATACCGAGGGTGCATACTCGAGGGGGTGGCTGACTCACTGGCCCATGGGACTTCGACTGTAGCGCCACGGTACATAACTAGAACCCCGAAGTCCCTAGGGCCTGGGGAGTTTTTCGCCGATCTCGGAACTCGTTCTTTGACTCCCCGTCCCCTTGTCAAGGCTCGAGTTTCCACCATTACCCTGCAGGGGGAGGTACGGGGGAATTTTATCTCACCCCCATGGACTCACCGAAACACGAAAATCTTTATTGTTTCAGTCGTTGCTGCGACAAGAAAAGCTGCGGCAACAGGAACGAGACGCCCAGCGATCCTGTTATCATCGACCGGTGAGTGACAACGATTAACAGAATTATCCCTAAAGTATTGTTCATGGGAATAGCGTGAATGCTGCATTGCGACTGGTAATGCCAATTATCATGGGGATTCGATTTGAAATCATTTTGTTTACGCCCTCGCGACTTGAAAGGTGTCACCTGAAAGATGGACATTAAGTCGCTGACGATCTTTCTTATCCATAGCGTTTCGAAACTATTATTTATGGGAAATGCGGTGTTTCTTCTTCTTCTTCTTCTTTTTTTTTTGTCTTTTTAATTGTAAAAAATCGTGCGAAAATATCGAGGACGGATTCGCATACTCGGGGGAGCACACGAGGAAGGCCCTGGCATATTTAGGCTTGCAAAATACGTTGTCTGAGGGGGTCGGCAGGGTGGCGGAAGAGTACCCGTACCGAGGCGTACTCACCCCCGTGTAAGGGGTGGCTCGTACTCACCCCCGTGCAAGGGGTGGCCCGTACTCGGAACACAGGCTCCGGCTAACGCCGGGGGTTGGGAGACCGGGTATCTGAATAGGCTATAGAGTGTCCTGAGATAGGAAGGTAGGAAGGAAGAGGTTTCCCGCGGGACCCGGGCCGAGATAGTCTTCAGGAGGACATCTTGAGCCCAGGGATGCTCAACCCTCGATACTCGAAATCTAAATTCCACCCCCGGATTCCGACGTGCCCCTCGCGAAGGGGAAAAAAAAAAGTAATTCCAGACACATTTCATCAAATTAATAATTAATATTCCATTCGTCCGAGTTAAAGTGTCCGGTAGAAGGACGAAATCTCGAGACTCACAGGAAGGCTCGGGGAATTTTCCGCATTTTCGAGGAAACCTCGGATTACGCGAACGCACGTACGTTCAGTGATAACGCGCTCTCCGATGACTTTGGGGGAAAAGAAATACCCCTGGATATGGGGATTTTCGGACGGGCATTTCCTAAACGAGCCTCGGTGATTCCTTCGATGTTCTTCCCGGGACACGTGGGTAAGAATTAAATATAGGGGAGGGAGGGAAATATATTACAAAGGGCTGTCACTTCTGAGCGGTCGATTCTCCCTTGTCGGAGGCGCACTTCGAGAGTTATCGGTGCATCGGGAAACCACATCGATCCGATCGACGAGGACGTAATTACACCGGTGACGTTCGTCTCGAACGAGGTTACGTGGTCGCGGTACGATCGGGGGTAACGATAAAAAAATTAATTTCGAAAATGTCCCACCCCCTGGTCTCCCCCCTTTCGGCGACACGCAGCCACGATGCCGACCGGTCGCGTGTCGCGTGCCACCCCGTGGGGTGGCGACTTCATTTAGCGAACACATCGCCATCCTCGACGAGGATCCTCTCCCCAACCCACCCCCTCGCTTCCTATCGAAATCTTATCGGCTCTTATTACCTAAGACTGGGAATCGGGGATTTTTATATACTCGAGTTTAATTAATATCGGCCGAAGGAGGACCGAAGGGGGTGAAAGGGGTTTAGAAATTTAGGAGGCTGTGTATGGGGGGTAGGTTTACATCTGGGTTAATAGCCAAAGGGTTAAGGGACTGGAGTCGGCAGGATAGATTGTTGGTTCTCTTTCGTCTATTTTTTTTTTTTTTTTCAATTGGGGGCGACTCCACCCGGAGTGGTCCTGGCACTTCAAGTCGGGCCGACTTGTCGAGCCACCCCCTGAGATCGAACCTTATTGGCTGTTAGTGCTTTCCACCGAGCTCTCGTATCTGGCCGGGAAAATATCGCGAGGCTAATAGACTTTTGCGCGCACAAAACCACAATGTCGGGGGGGTGGCCGGAGACCCGGGGTATCAATGCCACTTTGATTGAGGCGGTCCTCGTCGATTGTGACATGCTCACTCGGCTGTGCCGAAAGTACAACGCGACGCGACGTCCCCACCTGACGGGGGCACAAAGGCCCCGACACGCCCCCCAGGCCACTTCGTCTCGACCCCTCGGTACCCCGAAAAAATTATTCCAAATTCCCGACTCCCCCCATTTCCAATGAAGAGGGCCTTGATAAACAATCCCTAGAATTAAAAAAAAAAATAAATAAATGCTCTTCTCGATGTGGAACCCTTGCTCGAGGGTCATTCTATGTGCCGGAACGTCAGAGTATTGATAGCACTTTTCTCCAAACTAAGCGCACCGGATCATTTGAAACTTCGACACGTGAAATTGCGGTATCAGTGGCACCAGAAGTTTCGCTTAAAAATCAAGTTGCCCTTGCGGTGGTAAGAAATTTAACACGGGGGAAAGAAAAAGGGAGAAAAATCCGGAAAAATCAATTCGATGGATCGATCGATTGGGCGGGGGGGCATCCCGGTTAGTGGCAGGATCGCATCGCGAATTCTCGAATTCCGATGGAGGCAGTAATAGCGGGGCAGGTCGTTGTTAACTTTATGAATAATTTATGACAGGAAGACGGGAGGAGCTCCTCGGCGGGATCGGTCGACGGATCGATCCCGGCCGGAAGTCCGATCCTCGGCCAATCGCAGGCGCCGTCCAGGAGCGGCCCAGGAGAAGCCGGTATTACCACTGGACTCGAAAACCAATTAACATGCATAATTAAAATGGCATTGTCGTGGGCCGAGCGCGGTGCCCACGGCCCTCCGTTCCCCGGGGAGCGGGACGGCCTTCCATAATTACGAAAATCCTCTCCGCTCAAACCCGATGCTAGGGAAACCAGGAAACTGCCGAAAAAAAAAGGAAAAAAAAAAGAAATCGGGGAGGGGGAATTTTGAAGGTGGAACCGAGAGTGGTCCGTCATCCCGTGGATGGACCATTGGCCGACTCGAATTCGGACCCTTTAAATTCATAGGGTGCTGCGCAATGATTGGAAATTATTCTTTTTCGGGATTTTCGGGTTTGAATGAAACTTTTTGCTGGGGAGAGAATTTTTGAAAAATGCTCCCATTGGCCGACTCGAATTCGAACCCTTCAAATAGATGGGGAATGACGTTACGATAGAAAATGATTCCTTTTCAGGATTTTGCCAATTCAGATCCGTGATATTTATTCAAGGGAGAATGTTTTCAAAAATCCTCTCCTCTCGAACCGGGTGCAAGTGAAACCGAGGAACTGGCGGGGAAAAATAAAAACCAGGTGAGGGGAATTTCGACGGGGGCACCGACTAGAATTCAGCCCTATGAATTTATGGGGTGCATCGCTCCGCTCGAAAATGATTTTTCTCTCTCTCTCTTTTTTTTTTTTCTTTTTCTTTTTCGGGATTTTCGCTCCGGGTAGGGGATATTTATTAAGGGGAGATTTTTCTCGACGGAGATTTCCACATGTCCCCCGCGAGTCGGAGGGGCGACTCTTTTTCCTCGATTTCCGGGAATTTCGTACCGCGACGTGTCGCTCGACAAATCGATCGGCATTATCGATCGGGATTTGGGACATCGGTCGGGCCTCCTCGTCGCTGTCCATCTCCCTGGCGCAATTTCGGGGAACGATGTTCCCCGCCGGGTCGAGGCGCGTAACAATCAATCGTTACCTTAATTGATTGCAACTGATGGAGAACGCTCGGGATGGTTTGACTGACGTCACAATGACGTACGGATTGTCAATCAGTCGCGCTTGTGGCGTTAATGCATGCAAATCCGAGCGAACTGCCAAAGCGTTGTCCTTCCGAGCGCGCGCGCGTCTCCGCCAACATTTGCCGATAATTTCTTCTTTTTTTTTTATTTATTTATTTTCCCAATCTCAAAAACGGCTTAAAAAAGCTCCTTAAAATTGTCTCAGAGAACGCCTTGGAAAATCACCTTGACCCTTTCAGCGCTAAGCCCTATTGGCGTATGGGCGAATTTCGTCAGGACGTCCCAGCAATATTCGACCAAACGTCGCACTTATGAGTCCGTAGCGCTGAAAGAGTTCAGGAACACCTTGAGGAACGTTTTGCAGTGCGCCATCGGAGGGGATCGCAGAAATGGCAGGAATTAGCCCAGGCTAACCGGGAATTATCATTACCTTTCTCCGATCGCAATGCCGTACGACCAATTACTCGACAATACGAGTACCGAGCCTAGCAGTGCCGTAATTATCGCGGGCCCCGGTACCCGGGTTTCCTCGACAGGAGAAAGTCGATCGGTGACGCTTATTGCGAGATCGATATGTATCGACGCACATAATGGGGTATCTCTCGGTCGCGATCGATCTCGGTTAATTGGGCCAGGCTTGAGTTAACTCCGACTGTAAGGTAAAGTAGGGGATATCGTACCGTCGGTCAAATTTTACCAGCAAAATGTACTTAAAACAAATGTCACGTTTAATCATAAAAAAAAAATGTCATATTATGTGTAAATTTTATGTACTTGCATGTGTGTACATTGCGTGCCGAATCTCGCAAGTAAATGAAATATGAATTCGTTAACTAAAATATCCCGCCAAGAGACGTTTCTATTGTCATTTCTGTAAACCCGGTACAATTTACCTAACTTTACCCTACAATTTAATTCAGTTCTCTGCTGCTCTTTGTTGGTCCCGGTCGGTTCTCCAGGAGCGGGCATTTCCCCTGGTGTTGGCCTGGTCTATTAGAGAAATCAAAACACACTCGCATGGGGAGCATATGGGAGCCCATCTTTCGGGCGGGGGGAGGCAACCCCACAAGCCTCGAAAATAAATGTTCGGGGGGCCAACCCTGAAGAGGGCGACTCGCCGGAGCGAGAAATCGCCCGATAAATAAACGAGCCTATTTGCTCGGCTAATTATTTCTCCTCTCGCCGATGTCCGGAAACGGGAATCGTTAATATACCCAAAGACTCGTCAAAAGTTAGGGGAAAAAATATATTCGATTGTACTCGAATTATAATAACCGAGACGAAATTTGTTGCTGCTAGCGAACTACTCGGTGACTGATAGTAACGCCTGTACCGAGGCTCGTTAGGCATTATCTCCGGGTATATATGTACTTGGCGCGAGACTCTATCGAGTTTCTTTACGGGAAACGCGACCTCGTTCCACCTCGCGCTCATCTCTTCGAGGGTCCGAGGCGAGTTGACGAGGCCACGCGATGC